ACTCTGGCCACATCACTTCCAAGATCCATATCTGACACCTGTTCTGAAATATGTCCAACATCGTTTTCTCCTTCTCGTTTATTTCCTAGAATCTACAAAAAATTTCAAACGGTTATTTTCGGACACTTCTTATAGCCTGATTTCGGACAAGTTTCAGAATAAAAATTTCGGACACATTGCTGGACTAAACTTACGCCTATACAAAACACGAATTAGACTGAAACAACATCTGTGATAATGATAGTCTTACTGCACCCTCAAGGTTTTTCAGATACATGCACCGACGAGAAAATAACACGTACAAACAACAAGCCATTAAGTACCTCAAGCAGTGCCTCAACTGGAGTTCCCTTCTTTAAGGAAACTAAGAGCTTTGAGCTACGCAAAAGTTCTATGCTATACTAGTATGTTCATAGTTGTTCCTCTGATAGCTAGTTAATTGTTCTTTGTAATTTTACATCACGCCATCTTGTGCAATAGGAAATTCTATTAAAATAGATAATTAAAACCCAGCTAAAACTCACCTTTTCCGTCATGCGTTTTTATCATAGTTGTTTTTATCATTGTAAGTTTACTTTTAGTTGTAATTTAAGCTTTTTAAAATCATTGTAAGTTTACTTTTAATTGTAATTTTAGCTTTTTAGCCTTTTTATTCTGTTTTTAATCTTGTCATACGCCTCTGAACATTTTATGAAATTTGGGCATTATAAATGTTATTATTATTGTTGTTATTATTATTATTATTATTATTATTATTATTATTATTATTAAACACCATGCCACAACATGATGTTAAATTTGTTTTCTTTTCTAGAAGCATTGTAATATTTTCTATTCAACAATTTGATTATGAGCTCGAGATTTCTCGCCCTCGTCAATTATTACGCATAAAAATCGAGAGCGAATAATCTAATTGTTTTAGTATAAATCTAGTAGGCGTTCAAAACTTGATCTAAATCCTCTTTAGAGACACCTCGAAAACGCAAAGAAGCGGCCGTCATTTTCGTTAACAGGCAGACACTGCTACGCTACTCACTATCTACAACAGAATAGATAGTGAGTGGTGTAGCCAATCAGAGAACGGAGTTCGTGATAGAACGCTAAGTAAATTTATACTAATTAATATTTTCAGCAGATTTCTAAAGAACAGTCTTAGCCAATCTCAGGAACTATACTACTTCTACACAGAAACCGAGCTTATGTGACCTCCATTTGAAGGCTCTCTTCTAATTAAACAACTACCTTTTCTTGTAATTCTTTTTCGTTTTCATAGCTCGAGTCAATCAAATCACTGAAGGTTACAGGTAAAACGATTCCAAAGACAAACCTCGAGATAAATGAATAAATAACCTCCTTAAAGACCTCGGTTAGTGAGCAGCTTAAAATGACTAAACACATTAGTAATAAAGTTATAAAGGATGCAAGTTTCTTATTTTGTATGAAAACTTCGCGCAGCAAAGAAAATTTGTTCGTCGAAGCTTCTGCAATAGTGTCCTCGAGTTCGACTTGATTGTTCCACGCGTCGGCGGCAAACACGAGAACAACAAACGCTGCAGTCACGATAAACATAATCATAACGATAATTATGAGCGCTATATAGTGAGAATACATCTCCTGTGAAAAACAAGTGTACCACCAAATCATAGCGGAACCAATGAATCCCAGAGACAATGCTGCTGAAACCTTGAGTTTAGAAAACAACCCGCGAGTTCCACACGAAGTAGGTTGGTCAAAATAAGTCATCAAAATCGCCACCAAGTTGCAGCCCTGGAAAAACAGCGTAGAATTTAACAGAATTCTGAAAACATTGCAGGATTCTCTGGGTTGAGTTTCCAATCCTTTGCACGATTCTATAGCATCTACCACGAGAATGGTAACTTGGCAAACACACTGACAAACGGTTAATGTTCTGCATTTTTGAAGAAACGTGTTCTTCGTTTTGTCTTTGAAGCAGCTTCGCAGCATTCGCAAGTTAAATAGGAACCCTGCCATCAAAAGCACAAATATCCCACTCATGATAAAAGATAGGGTTGATTTAAATATTTTTTCGTTGTAACGAGACCGTTAGCAAAGCTTGGTGTATCTTACTCTTTGCGCTTTTGATGGTTTTGTGTGTGAGAAAACCCCACCTGTTCAGCTGGTGCAACTCGCCCAGTTTCTGTTTGATGTATAAATTGACTTCAACTGAATAGAAACTTCAGAAACAGAAGTTTATTTACGTGCACAAAGACAAGAGACGATGACAAAGACAACACATAGAGACTATACTAAAATAAAACACATGTAGTTGCGCGTTAATAGTTGAAAAGGAGAATGTCATTAAAAATTGAATGCTGGCTTAAAATTGTAAAGAACTTGTTAATTAGCTCTTATTGGCGCTTCCACTTTTTTTAGCGGGGGGTTGGTAAGTGGATAGAGTAGCTGTAAAGTGACCGAGACAGGTTTGGGTGCGTTTGTTTGAGATCCGGGTCAGGATCAGTGATCCAAGATCACTCGGATCATGGTACATCAAAGGAACCGATGGTCATGGATTTATCGGTTTCTTTGATGCACCATGATCTGAGTGATCTTGGATCACTGAACCTGATTCAGATCATCCCAAAGAAACGCACCGTAGGTGTCAAACAGATGATAATTACAATATTTTTAGCTTACATACTCAAAGCCTGCTCAAAGACGCCTTGCAAACAATTTTTTTCTGGAGCCTTACGTAATAAGAAAGTCTCGCAAATCTATGAGAAGAGACTGGACAACTGAATAGTCAGCAATAAATAAGTTCAGTGGAAATATGCTTCATCAGTGACCGGATTTAGACGCTATACCTTTCTCGCATGGGCAAAGTTTAGTCTAGTTCGTCATGAAGTGTTTTGTGTCTCAGTTCAGCCTACATCTTACTACTTGCTTCGTAGGTCACGTGTTATTCACAGAAAATACTTGGGGCTCTTTCCCCGAACTCGACCAATATTTCATAATCCGTATTGTTTTTTCTCCGTTTGGGAATTATACCCACGGGGGCACAAGCACTTTCCCTATAGACCCATTGCATAAATTTAAATAACAATACTTTGTACATCGTTAGCCTCGTACTCATGTTTCCAGACAAAGGATTTTTAACGTGAATGTGAGTCTTAGGACGTATAAGTATTGTTATTCAACTATCGGCGCATTTATGCAAAGGATCTATTGTTGGATTTTATTTATTTCTAGTTGTCATTCCTACTTTTGACTTGATAAGGACTTGATAAAGACCCTGCTGAAACGTAGCTAAAGTAAATTTACGGCCTACAAAACACAAATTTCTATCTCTCAAGCAGAGTCTCATCTAGAGTTGGCTCCATAACGGAGACTAACAAGAAGTTAGGGTAACCCTAGTACTATAGGGTTGCCCTCGAAAGAGGGTCAAAGATAGCCCGCGTTCACTAGTAAAATTTTTCAGGTAGGGTTACCCTACTACCCGGGACAACTCTGGCCAGTCACGCTTTATTTAACCTGATAAATAAAACACGCAATGGATAATAATTTTATTACCAAAACCTATTTTCACTTGAATTACAAACATTATTTCGAAACTTTCCTCACTAAAACGCTAAAAATCGTCACAAATTGTCACGATGTTAATACGATGTTTCTTAATAAGTCACAATTCGTTTGTTTTAGCGGGATTTTTTTAAAATCATATTTTGATTCTTGAAGCCAAAATAAAGTTTCCCGGCTAGGCGCGAAGGTGAGTTGTCCCTAGCAGAGCGTTTACAAGGCGGGTAGGGTAACCCTGGCGCTTGGACAACCCTAGTGCTCAGCTAGGGTTACCCTAATGCCAGGGTAACCCTAACTACTTTGTAAATACGTCTGTGAAAAGAAGAATTTCGGAAGTGCCCCTGAGGGTAACCCTATAAATTAGAAAAAAAAAAAAAAAAGAGGAAATGTGGGAGTGCTAGGGTAACCCTCATCACGAGGGCTAGGGAAACCCTAGCACTAGGGTAACTCTACTTACACAGGGCCTAAGAGCTTTAGAGCTACTTAAAAATTTTTGCACTGTTAATGTTCTGTAAATATTTTGGACAGTTCGATTTTCGGATGCGTCCGCGTACCCTGTCGGCCCTGGGAACGAGAAAAGTTTGTGACGTCACGGATTTTGCTTCCTTCGACCTTTGTCGGAGAGTTCAAGGAAAAGTCATTGCACGAGGTCATGAGTTTGACATATTGGCTTGTCATAGCAGCTCTTGATTTGGCAGGGGTCATCTTCAGTGCACGAATGTTACGGAGATGCTTCCAAGACAAAATGAAGAACACGTTTCTTTACAAATATAGAACATTAGCCATTTGTCAGTGTGCTTGCCAAGCTACGTTTGTCGTTACTGATGCTGTGCAATCATGGAAAGGATTTGAAATTCAAGCCAGGGAATCTTGCGATGTGTTTAGAGTACTGTCGATTTCTACGCTGTTTTTTCAAGCTTGCAACATAACGGCTATGATGATAGTCTATTCTGATCACGGTAGCCCGGCCAAAAACAACAACAACAACAACAACAACACAGGTTATTCACGCTCGAATTGCTCGCAGGAATCAATCAGACTAATAAGGTCCTCTTTACACGACCCCGGGTTGCTTTTTACCCCGGATTGAATCACGGCGGGTAACCCTTTTGCAGTCGAATGTTATAAGCGTTTACATGAAAACAGTTGTCAAGCCGGGTCAGCCCCCTGCCGGGTAACCCTTGTCGAGACTCGGGTTGACCCGGCGAGAAGGATTGACATTTCTTCAGTTCTTACATGTAAACAGTAGGCCAAAAGCTAACCTGGGTTGGTAATTTTAGTCAAATAACCATGTTGTTTGTTTTTTGGGGGGTTTGTACATCAGGACCTCCCACCATTCAGTTATACTTTGTAGGTTTTTTGTTTGTCCTCTTTCTAGCCCATGATTTCAGTTTTTGATCGGTAGAAAGGCTGGCCCGGGTCAGGCTCGAAGCAAACCACACGCTATGGCAAACTGACAACCCAGGTTGGTGTAAAGTGTTTATTTTTAGCACTCTCTGCGGTGATTCAACCCCGTCGTGTAAAGAGGGCCTAGGTTTACACTTGAGGAGATTTTTCCGCATTCGTAAATGTTTTCGGATTCATCAATATTAGAGTACACGGATTCGTAGGCGTTAACACTGTAAGGATATTCGGATTCCTAACCGTTTACACACGACGACAACTCCGGGAATATTCTAATCTCCTTCGCAGCCGTTATTAGGGTCGTCACGCAACGCTTCTCCCGCAAGTGTTGCGTGACGATCCTAATAACGGCTGCGAACGAGCCCAGGAACATTCATGATGGAGTGGTTAACAAGCTGTTTTTTGCCTCGACAACGAGAAGCAAACTGCCGCCAAAATGTACCCGTCTAGATTTTGTTCCAACCAGCTTTGTTGGGGCAAAAAGTCTGGTTTCATTATATTCAACATTACAACTAAATACATTCAAAGGCTAAGCAAGAAATACAAATAATTTACTAATAATCTACATGGCGTTCACACTAATAGGTAAGCGTACTGAAAGTTTTGTCAATTCCACCTCGAGACTGTTCAGTACATTTGCTTTTTACTTCAGTTTTGTCTGTCTTTATTCTTAACTCCAACTCTTTCTTTACTTTCCTTTGTAACTAGCTACGTGTTTTCCTTTTCTTTAGTTGTTTCATTTTTTCCAGTTTTTGTTTTGTTTTCTTCTTGGGTGTCTGGTTTTTTTTTCTTCTTTGTGTCAGTGGTTTGTTTGTTGTCGTCTTCGAATGTGTTTCATGTTTTAAACTTTTGCCTTTTCTTGTCTTGCTAACTTCGCTTCGTTTCTTTTTTGTTTCATCCTTCCTAAATTTTTGTTTTCTTTTCTTCTTTGTCTTTGCTTCATCTTTAGAGGAGTTTTCTTTTCGTTTCTTCTTTGTCTTTGCTTCATCTTTACTAGAGATTTCTTTTCTTTTCTTCCCTGTCTTTGCTTCATCTTTACTAGAGTTTTCTTTTCTTTTCTTCTTTGTCGTCATTTCATCTTTACAAGGTTTTTCTCTCCTTTTCTTATTTGTTTTTGTAGCAAATTTACCACTTTCTTTAATTTTCTTTGGTTTGTTTGTTAAATCTCTACTAGTTTCTTCCTTTCGTTTCTTCTTTGCGGGTATCTCATCTTTATCAGCTTTTCTGAGTTTTCTTTTCTCTTTTGTGCATGTTTCACCAGTTTTAGGTTTTTCCTTCCTTGTCTTCTTTGCGTGGGTGGAATCTCTACTTTTCTCTTCCTTTCTCTTCTTCTTTGTCTTTGCTGCATCTCTGCTACTTTTCTTTATTGCCTTCTTCTTTGAGTGTGTTTTCTCGTCACCAGTTGCTATTCTTTTCTTCTTTGTGAATACACTCTCTCTGCTGGACATTTTCCTTTGTTTCTTCTTTGTGAATGAAACGTCTATGCTTGCTTCTTGCCTTCTTTGTGTTTTCTTCAGCGCTCGTTGTGCGAGCTTCTTACGCAATTTTCTTTCAATGGAAAGCTTCCATGTCTTATTGCCGAAAATGTGTATTGTTGTACAAGAATGTCTGCAAAGGCCGCCCCTGATCAGAAACCGTTTTAACTCCGTAACTAATTTCTTTGTGGGTGTACTCGAAGGCTCACCATCTAAGACCTTTGTCGCTTTTCTCTTCTTTGGGCTCGTGGAATCATTGCTGTTAACTTGTGGAGAACGCTCTTGATTGTGCAGCTCTACAGGATTCTCTGGAAACAATTTCGTTTTGAGGTTGGAGATGTCATCTGCAATCAGCGCACCCGAGGACTTGAGGAAAGAGAGAAAAATTGGACGTCAATGAAATTCTGTCTCGGTTAACTATGATTTACAAGCCTCTGCTTTCCCTATATTTGCCTTAATGTTTTCACCATGCATGACCTGTGATCATGCATTCATACAGAGAAATGTGCTACCAAAGCAGGAACTCAATATACCACCGGAAGGTTGTAAAGAGAGCAGTGCGGATGATGCTATCAAAACATTTAAGAACGACCATCCACATCTTACGAGGGACCTGATAATCAGTGACCATCAATCTAGTTTGTACATGCTCTAAGTAAAAAAAATTCCCTGTTTACATCGAAAATCTTTCACAGTCACCATTGTAAAGTCCTTTTAGTTCCCTAAGCGGTCCGAATTTTGCAATTGTTTCTTTTTACGGACCGCTAAGATGGACCGCTCACGAATTGATTTCGACAAATTGCATTTTCAATTCATCGCACATTATGAACAGGTTTTTCGAGTCTTAAGTAGAAATCTTTTTACCTTCGTGTTTGGAGGACAATTTCAGTTAAATGCTCACAAAAGCGACGTGAGAAACATAAATAAATGCGTTTAACGAGAATGGCTCGCGGAGACTTAGCAGATCAAAAGCAGATCAAAAAGAGCCATTATAATAAATACTTTATTGAACTAACTTGTTCGGTCCGTATTGGAGAATATTGGTCGAGTTGCATTTTTTCAGGTTGTTGGACCTCGCCTGAGGCCCGGTCCTTAAACCTGAAAAAATAAAACACTCTTCTCCGTATAATAAATAGAGGATATTACACGGTGGCGAGAAGATATGAATTTTATGTTCGAGTGGCAAGAACAATANGCGTTTAACGAGAATGGCTCGCGGAGACTTAGCAGATCAAAAGCAGATCAAAAAGAGCCATTATAATAAATACTTTATTGAACTAACTTGTTCGGTCCGTATTGGAGAATATTGGTCGAGCTGCATTTTTTTCAGGCTGATGGACCTCGCCTGAGGCCAGGTCCATAAACCTGAAAAACTAGAACCCGACCAATATTCTCCAAAACGGACCGAACGAGCTTGTTCAATAACATACATATATCTCACCTGCGATGGTCTGTTGATATCATCACGCACAAACGATTCTCCAAGGTCACAAGGTTCCGTCAAAGATTTGGCGTTTGTTGGTAAAAACCTTGGTGAAGTGTCTGAAAAATTATGAGTAAAGAAACCTTTAGTCACTCAGACAGGCAGCCTGGCTGTCTGAAACTACAACTTTACTATAGAACTTAGTGCAAACTCCCAAACTAGTCTTGAGAGTCAGGGATATTGTTTGCATGTAGCACTTAGTTCTACTTGTTCAACAAAAGGTAATGTCGAACTTCAGACGCAATAACATTGAGATATTTAACGTTCCATCTTTGAAACAAACGCTACAGTACCTTCAGGTTTTTGTCTTGGTGTGGATGCAAACAATTTATCCAAAGTTCCCGGTGTTAACGTCCTTGCAGGAGTCACAGATGTGCTGCACAGACACAGGAGAAATGTTAGGATGTCCCTTAACCCTATCCTTTTCCAGGGTGGTTTGTTTTGGTAGTGGCTGCACAACTTCATTGATATGATAGAGGGCCGGGAATGGACCACTCCTCTGTAAGGAGATGCTTACAAAGGGAAAGGCCCTTAAACCGGTCTGGCGTCAGGCTAGATCCATTTCGGGTCAGTGCGATCAGAAACTATCATAGGGGTGAAAGTTACATGCAAATGGAAATCTAAAACCGATGAACAACCAATCAAATAACTCTACTCAAATTTCTGTGCAGTGACTGTAATGACATCATTATGGACCAGTTCAGTCCAGTCTCTTGGGGAGGCTGTGAATTGTGAGGAGAAACGTCCGTTCACTCCTTAACAAACCTAAGAAACCAATGAATAAGTATTTATTTCAGCACTGATCAACTGTACCTGTTAGAGGTTTTGTTAAAGTCTTCATTATCCAATGGTTTAAGCCAAATTTTGAGACTTTTAGGAAGATCCTTTGCCTCAGAATTTTCCATCTGAAAAACAATTTTAAAAGCAATGATTACTACAATGTAATGTT